CGGTTGGTCTTATCGGCGAATAGCTCGAATTTGAGCAGGAGCGATGCCACTATTAGACGATTTTGGCAGGATGGGTGAACCATGGCCGCACATAGCGTCAAGAAGGAAGCGGTAGGCCTAGAGAAACGATAGAACGTGAAGACCGAGCAATCGTCAGAGCGGCACTCACAGCCCCAGATGCATCATTATCATCGATGGTACGTGCAACTAGTGCTTTAGTGTGACCGCAAGGACCATTCATAGACGGCTCACAGAAAGGTGGCTGAGGTCAAGGCGCCCCATTGCGCCGACTACCATTGACCTCTGTACAACGTCAAGCCCGTTTGCAGTAGTCTCGAGCTCATTCGCACTGGAATGTCACTCACTGACTGGAGTAGAATAGTCTTCAGTGATCAGTCCCGCTTTGAACTGAGCCCCGATTGACCAGCGAAGGCGAGTCTGGAGACGCCCCGGACAGCGGTGTGATACCAACCTGATTGTCTTCTGGCAGACAGGCCGACAACCAGGAGTGATGGTCTGGAATGGCATTTCATTTCATAGTAGGACCCCTTTGGTTGTCATCCGTCGCAACCTTACAGCACAGCGGTACGTCGACGAAATTTTAAGACCCGTTGTGTTGCCCTTCATGTCACGCCACCCTGGGCTTATTTCAGCAAGATAATGCCCGCCCCCACACTGAACATGTTTCTACTGCTTGCCTTAGTGCATGTCGAACATTACCTTGGACAGCAAGATCGCCGGATCTCTCCTATTGAGCATTATGGGCAGGGCCCTCCAACCAGCTCGGGATGTTGACGATCTAACGCGCCTGTTGGACAATTTGGCACGATATCCCTCAGGAGGACATCCGCAACCTCTATCAATCGATGCCAAGCCGAATAACTGCTTGCATAAGCGCCAGGGGTGGAAAAACGCGTTACTGACATTTTCACTTTGTGAAGCTCTATCACTTCAATTAAATCATCCAATTTTTCTCAAACTGTAATCATTTGTTTTTCTGTACATGTACATCACTTCTACCGATTTTGGTCCCATTCGGATAACTCCTTCTTGGTCTTTTTAAGAATGCTCGAAAACATAATTCTCACATCTTACGTGAATTTACCCTGCTTCAACATACGCTTAACAACTTTACTGACGAGGATCTTTCCAGCCCACTGTCCTCAAAAAATTACCTTCGCAAAAAAAAGCTCGGAGTTCGACTAAGATTCTTATGATAACGATGATGATGATACTGCCAACTAACAATAAAAACATGCATGAGTTAGATGCATGCAACATTGTCGACCATCAGCATCATCGCTAATCCTCAGTAAAATTTACGAGGTCCCGTTAAAGATACGGTTATGCTCTTTACTGATTGTGTATTTCTCTCCATCACATAAGATTCTTGAATACAGTCTTAAATTATATAGTATGAACACAGTGGAAAGTCCCAAGCAAATGTTCTTCTCTTCGATTTAAATTTTGCTGCCGTTTTATGCATGCCTAAAATAGCCCGGATGGAGAACTATGCACGAGAGGTACAAAACATACGTTCTTATAAAATGACTAGAACACGTAATTTCGGTTTTTTTTTAAGTGTGTGTGTGTGTGGGGGGGAAACTGCAATGACAGACAAACAAAAGTTCTCTTCGGTTTGTCTAATGTTTAGAGCAGCGGCGATAAACATAACGTATAATAAAGTAAATACAAGTACACTCATGTCCAAATTAATCTTTACATACCCAAAAATAATGATATTCCATGAAATATCCGATCGATGGAATCCATTTTCAGGCCCGTTCATCACTTTTGCATTATCCAATCAAAAGTGATGAAACGGTTTGCATTTTAGTAAATTTCTACAAAACAGTGCTTGATTCCAGAGTATAAGAACTCAAAACGGTTTGCTAGAGGCACCGAAACATGATTTCGAAGAATCTGAGTCACCGGCCGTTTAGAAGCAGGGCAGACAATCGTGGAAGTAATGAGATGTGTAAATATGTCAAGACAAGTTTCTACGCTACAGAAACAATTTCAGAATTCTGGAACTGTTAAGACAGAGCAGGCATGAACGCAACGCTGGATTCATCTGTAAGAATCATGCCATATTTTAAACAATTATGCCTAATCTCATCAAACCCTTCAATTTAATAAATAACTACTTAACTAGGAATGACGACGAAATATTTGATAAACATAAATCCGGCAAACCAAGATATTTATCTGAGGTTTACCCATTATTAGTCGACGTGATAAAATTAACTGTGCACTGAATGTTCATAATTAAAATGCACTTAAAACAACGTAACTACGAAAATGCTTGTCCATACTAAGAAAAACTCGTTGACGAATTCTCTGAAAGTGAAGAAATTCAGCGAATAGCGTGGCCAACAAAACTTGATCTCAAACCGATAGAGAACTTACGGGATACCTTGAAAAGGCAGTTGCACAGAGACATTTTACTCTGAATGGCCTGAAGATCGTATTGCGGGGAGTAGAACTTAATTCCTCAAACTGTTAACAACGTTACTGTGAGCACGTTGGAACATGTATGTCCAAGTCAGGGAAGATCTCATTCCATATTGAATTCAAGAGGCTTAATTTTTAATGAGCTATTCTTTTTTTTCCCTGAACTCTTCTAGTGACACATTACTACTATTTTTACTGTTTCATGCTACATTTTATATCATATGCTCTTGAAGGTTTTCCTTTTTATTTATATGTTGTGATGATTTCATACAAAGTCATAAAATTGTGGTTTCTGAAAAATTCGTCACTTCATGCAAGTAAAGATAATTATGTTTCTGAGACTCCTTTGCCCAATGCTTTATTTTTCTTCTTTTTTTCCCCTTTCAAGGAATTTCGTTCTCCTGATGAGGAGGGACCTCATTTATAAAATTGCCCTCGAAATTGATTGTTTTAATATACTTACGCTAAATACAAGGTTGTTTTTGCGATTTTGAATGTCGCATTGGCGTGTTTCTCTTCTATTCAATAATTATGGAAATAAATTGTATCAGAACAGCAGTACAATCACCGATGATCTCACAATCTGATGCATAAAAAGTTTTAGCTTTTGCACTCTGGACTTTTTTTATTCTCTTTCAGTCAACAAAAGTCAGTTTTAATGAAATGTTTACTGTGATACTCAGTTATAATTACATTCATTTTAAACCATTTTCACAGTTTCATAATCTTCAGTGTGCGGTTTTGGTTTTTAGAAACTAAAGAAAATAACATAAATTCATCGTTTTTAATAGCAATACTTTCTTATTAATTAAAAAAGGCATTACTTTTGGACTAATAAATTTTATCAATACATTTGCTCTCACTTTGTTAAATAAAAATCTATTCTTAGTGATAGTTTCACAATACATGTTTGTGACAGAAAATATCATGATCACAAAATTTTCCCGAAGTTGACTAAAACAATGAAGCGGTCACAAGAGAGCTCTGCGTTCATATGTGGCATCAAATAAAGCAATGCACCAATGAAATAAGGTCATATGTTACAATGCGAACATCAACTAAGCGTTCACAGCAGGGTTCTGCTGTAATATGCGGTGTAGAAGCATTAGGTTAATTGGAAAAGCCGGAAAGATGAAAAAGAGCAATCGCCTCGCTGGGAATCGAACCACGAACCTCTGGAATACCAGCCCAGCGTGCAGAACCACTACACCACGAAGGCGGGATTATATACTACCCCTTTTAAAGGGCGACTGGGGTTTTTAGGGGACCCAATCATCAAATCCTGGGTGTGGAGAATCTTCAACCAACACCCTTTTAGTTCGGGCGCCACTGTAGAGACATTAGGATTTTTTGGAAGCGAGAGAGATGAAAAATGAGCAATCGCCTTCGCCGGGAATCGAACTACGGATCTCTGGAATACCGGCCCAGCGTGCAAAACCACTACACCACGAAGGCAAGCGAAAGAAATACCTTATAGCGGCATACGCCAAACTTAGTTGCTAGGCAATCGAACCTTACTACAACACCGAAATTGGTATATGAATTTTATCTAAACGTTTTAACTGTTCAACTTTATACCAAGCTATTATTTCTACAGCTGTGAAAGGGGTTAACGAATTTCCCCCCCCCCGGCCTTAGAACAATGGCAATAGTAAGGAGTACACAGACCATCATAAGAAGACTTCCTAACAATGTGTTTTTCCTTCTCTTCATCTTAGCTCATGTTTGTTGGATTATATGAGTACATTCTTCCAGAAAATTCCAGACAGTTGATCAGAAAAGCAAATAAAAGAAATTTCCAATGCATGACACAATAAGCAAGAATTTTATTCTATTAAAAAAAATCGAGTAGTTACATATTTTACTTAACAATTTCGCCAAACAACATATTTATGCAAATGGTCAGTAGCAATCACATCAAATAAAGAACCCAACTTATGCGGTAATGAGTGACAGCACATAATGTTAGGCAAAATTCAAATTTAAATTATTGATGGTTTTATCAGGATAAGGCTGAATATCACCTGACTTCAAAAAGGCATATCACGTTCTTATTCCAATATCATTTCAAGCACTAATAATTTACTAATTCATTAATATTTGCAATTTATGTCGTATTTTTATCAACACAAGTGTGAAATACACAACAGAAGTTTAAATAACGCATTATCATTACACGACTAATATGAACGATCGTCTTAAAATTAGTTGTCTAGCAACATATATAAAAAAGGGGGAGCAAAAACTATATTTAAGGAAAATATCGACAATACTACGCCTATAAAAACGCTAGAAATAAAGATAAAACTCATATTTGTAAATTAGTTATAAGCAATTTTAAATATTCAGGACAATACGTTGATAAGTTTGATTTAATCAAAGAATGTAAACATTGAGTCGATGTTGTAACACTTTCCTGCCTTTACACAAAGGAGTATTTTAAAAACTGAACGGACGATCTGATTTGTTAGGAATTGGCCCTTAAGAAAACAAACGCATAGGTGGAAAACAAAATTATTAAGAAGAAGAATTTAAATATCACTTACTTCAAAAAATTTGGACAATGCACTATTTTGCGTTATTCAATAATTTTTCAAGCCGTTAACAAATCCACTGATCTCACAGTCCTGCAAAGGAATACAAAATGCTTAATTAAAAAACGGGGTTAAACATATACCTGTCGCTATTATCTTTTATGTTTTTTCAAACAATAATGATACTTAACGAAAAATTGGAAAAGTACTGACCGTAAATATGGCTAATTCTCAAGACAGAGCATTTTTCTTGTGACAGTTCAGACAATTAAATTTATCACAAACAGAAAAATAATTGTAATTCTGCTTGACGTCATGCGTTCCTGTTCACAGACTAATCACAAAGCAGAACTGTAAATAGGGAACAGACGGGGGATCTATCCTCCCATCTTCTGTTAGGAGAATTCTAAAACCATGTCCGAGACATTTAAGTCCCTTTGACAATAAAACCGTTAAGAAACAAACCTACCCCTACAACATCAAACTCTTACTAAAGTTACATGTTAAATTATTTTTCTAATAAAACTTCATAGAACATTATAATAATATTTTATGCAGCTTTCTAAGCTTAATTCTATTTTTATTTATTTATATTTTTAATGATTTCCGTTTCTGACTCTAGAACAGCTTTTAATTTACTAACTCTAAAATAGTTCCAGATTAATTTCTTTGACTTGCACAACACCTGGTAACAATAAATGACGTTTATTGGAACTCAAGCATCACTGTATGTTGCAGTATTTGTATTTCATGATTATTGTGAGAATTACTGATTGATACTTAATCATTTCCTAATTAAATATGTAAGTAAATTATATATACTTATAATAATTCATACTTTTGAATTGATCTAATTAAGTCTAATTTAATTAAATAATTAAGCTGCTATAAGTATGATACATACATTATAAATCAATGAAAAATATCCCCGAAATCAAATTTACTTACATTTTCGAAAGCATGAATAAGGATTTGCATCATTACCAAGATTACTAATTTTTCAATTCATAATTTTGATACTGCAACAATTTTCCTAAAGTGAAACTAATTTTACTCAAATTACAAGATGACATAGATAAAAAGATGAATTCTGCTACAAGGAAGGAAGCCCTAATCAGTAAGTTCCCGATTCATAAGGCTATTATTATTAAGCAATCACCTAATTTTAAAGCATGTTTACAATATAATATTTTCCTCTTTGGTCTCCCAGTTTTTCGAAATTTGCCAATTGTAAATTTTTTTTATTTAATTCCATCTAACAGATGTCTAGCTTAACTCTGCGATCCAGATTTAAATTTTATCGTATTTTACATTTTCATAGAGGTGCGGTTCTTTTTTTAAGTTTTGCTATAATGTGTTTATTCGTTATTATTATTTTCATTTTTTCCCTCGTTTACACTGTCCACAGCGTTTCAAAACGATTGCATGACCGAAGATATCTTGATAACGTCCTACAACCATATTTGCATAGCGTACTACAGCCATGGTTCCATTAAAAAAAAGAAAAAGAATAAAATAATAAAGAGACTTCTTGGGCATCGAAGTTTTAGCGAACTAACATCTTTTGGTAAAAATATGAAAAAGTAAAAATTATACAAGAAATTCCTTAAAGACTTTCTAAAAAATCTGATGTGTACACCACATGACTTCCTTGTACGAAATATTAAATTATACGCATTTTTTTCTTGAATTTCATTTAAATTGATTGGACTGAATTAAATCTACTTTGTCGACAGTGCATAAACCACAATAGAATAAATGTACTCTTTAAAATTCACTATATGTGTTCACACTATGTCTATGTCTATGTCTTATCACTTAGTAAGAGGCAATCGACCAATAACGGCCTTTACCAATATATGATACTTGACATTTAAATGCTTGAAGAATCGAGTAAGTTGTATCCAATAACATGGGAAGTACTTGTACACATGCTGTGCTAGAACTCAGAGATTACTAGAGACGAAGGCTCCTGTGCCGCCGTCCGTAGAATAAGTAAACTTTGAACAAATGAGGTGCTCGTGTGGCGCCATCTATTAGTAGTGAACAAAAGCATTTTAGTTCACTGGTGCTCTGGTTGCGCCATCTTTTGCAGGATGTATTGTAAGGCATTTTTAAAATTTCATAAAAATTATTCTTTTGATAATTATAAAGACACTCTGAATGCACAAAATTTATATCATTTCAAGAATTATCTTATCGTTGCCACATACTCTATTCAAATACTATAATAAAACTAGAACAATGTATGAAAGAAATTAAGCAAACAAAATAGAAAAGAAACAGTTTTTCACAGACGATTTAGTATTTATCATTCAATTAATTCAGTTCTCACTTCACGACAAAGCAAAAATACATAAAAACTCAAAATATCTGTATTAAAAATTACGAAGTAAATCTTAAACACTTATTTCCTCGAAAACATTCCAGAAAGGATTAAGCATTATTTAATTCGCAATAATTTATAAAGGCGTTATCTTTGTTGTTCAGAAGCTTATTCTCTCTAGATTGGCAACAAATCTACTATTCTGCTGTTTCAAATGTAAACAAATATGTCCGCCATGTTATTTAAAATTAGGCTTAATCGCACTTAAACAGGTTTTAAATTGTTGATAATTGTACAAATATTGCTTCCAGAATTACGAAAGGCATAAAAACCTTAACCGGAAGATAAGAACAACATAATTCAATCTTTTTTAAAGCAAAAAATGTACAATTTACAAACATATAAGAGTAAAGAAACTGAGATCACTGTGGCGAGTAACAGAGTGGATATACGTATAAATATAGTATATTTATATACGTTTGGTGCGGCCGATTGCAACCAAAACACGAGGTGCACATCTACATGTTATAGCAGTCCTATATACAAAATTTCAACGTTCTGAGGCTACTCGTTTTCGAGTTATGCGAGATACGTAGGTAAGTACGTTCGTACAGCCGCGACGAAAAATTCTCTTCAGAATTCATTTTAAAGCAGTTTTATAATTTTTTGGAGGAAAAGAGTCTTTTATTCTGTCCTTAGGTACAGATATCACGCAAAAACATCGTTAAATTGCATTCGATAGCGGTCAAAATGGATATTTTCGTTGAAATATGCTGCCTGAAACTTTTCGCGATTACAATACTTTCTTTTTACTTCGTACAAGGAAGTAAAAAAGGATTCGTATGTAATATGTAAAACCGCTACTGTAAAAGAATATATATATATAAAATTTAAAAAAAAACCTAAACCATTATATATATGGCCTCAACCATTTTTATCCGATGAGAAGATAGACGAGAAGCATGATTTAACAGAACGTGTAGTAAGCAGTGGCATAACTACAGCTTTTGATGCCCTATCAATGCTGGGAAAAAAAAAAAAAAAAAAAAAAAAGATATATAGTGAAATAAATGAAAGCTTTGTGATCATTTTTTAAATAAAACTTGCTTTCCAGCATTTTGAAGTGCTTTTTTGCTCTTTTTTTCCCTGTTTGAAGGCAACTAGAATGAAAAGAATGTTCTAGTTAAAACCAGTAAAACTTTCGTATAGCAATTCGGCATCTCATGATTTCTTCACCTCATCAATGACCAATACGATAAGACGTCTGGTCGTTCGACTTGAGATAAATACCAAACAACAGGCTAGCTTGTGTGGTTTACCTTACATGTTACGTTAGGCGTTTAATGATGCAATCACGCATGGATGATGTCAATACGTATCTTTTTAAACGACCTCAATTTTTAGCAATTCAGCAAGGATGCCCGGATAATCAAAAATGGGTGCAGTTGTGAGTTCTGTTCCCGGGCAGTTATCACAGTTCCTGTAGATTTTCCTACCCTCTTTGTCAATTTCCAATCCTCTGTGATGGCCAGTTCTAAGTCTGAAAATGGTTTTAATTATTAAGTCGATCTCCACTGATGTTATGGAGCTGATGCTTTACTGGAAATGAAAGTCCCTTCAACCTATATTTGTCCATGGCATTTGCGTCCAAAAGGGTGACATTTACATTATTATTACTGTTGAGATTTCGAGCCTCTTTTGCCAGGACCCTGGAAAGAAGCTCCCTGATCACCAACGAAATCCACTTTCGCCTAAACGAGCTTCATAATTTAAATAAGGTCTGCATTCTGCAATGGTTGCCAGTGCATGTAACGAGAACACAGATTTTATTTTAATGACCAAGCAGTTACCATCAAAAACCAGATAATACTACTTTGCATTTCCCGGATGATACAGGACTGCTAAATAACTCTCAAGTAATTTTCCTTGTAAGATTTCCAAGCTTTGTTACCATATTACTTTCCAGCCATCGCTAACTGGAAATGTTTTCGTGGCTAATTTAGCTAAACTGCTCAAAACAATTAAAGGATATTGTAAGTTTTATATAAAATAAAGATATAAGCGAAATTTTTTTTTGCCGAAAATGGAAGAAGAGTATCACAAATGCAAATTTTTCTGATTTTCAAACTGTGGAGTATGTTAATTTTGAGTTCGACGTCAAAAACGTCGCTTCAGCGGCAGCGAATGAAATTTGACTTTCAACTGTATAAAAGACAATGAAGACAAGGATGATCGGCATTCAGTGATTGCTTTGTTCCGATGAGTACGATGTCTCAGCGAAGTCATTTAACTGATTCAGAAGCTTGGAGAGTTGTTGGTAGGTTAGAAGGGGGTCAAACTCAAGCCGAAGTAGCGCAAGCCATTGGAGTGTCACAAAGTGTGATTTCCAGGATCTGGAACCGTTTTTTGGAAACTGGAAGTGCAGGCCGAAGACCAGGGCAAGGTCGTAGACGGGCAACAACGTCCAATGAAGATCGTTATTTAGTGTTAACGGCTCGGAGACAACGAAATATGAATGCTACTCATCTACAACAACACCTTCGCTGGGCTACTGGCACCACTGTTTCAACTCAGACTGTCCGAAACCGGCTCCATGGTGTAGGTCTGTATGCTCGCCGACCGATGGTATGTGTTCGACTAACATCAAGGCATTGTCGCGACCACGGGGAGTGGGCAACAGAGCATGTGAACTGGAGGAGAAATGAATGGAGCAATGTTCTTTTTTCTGACGAGTCTTGTTTTTCTGTTCATCCTGATAATAGGCGTA